TTTTTTGTTTGTTTGTTGCCAGTGTGTAAGGAAATTATCAACTGTTTGATGCAAAGTCTCAGCTAACTATATAGGTTACTATGATTTTCTTATTAGGTTATTAACAGTGTGTTTTATGATTAGTTGTTACTCTACGCGTTCATCTGAATATCAGTTTTACAAAGGTGAGCATTTCTGGTTTTAGTGTGGATTAATAGTTTGCAGTCACCTGGGTTTTAATCTACACGCTTTGGTGGTTTCTGATTTGTATGTCCATAAAGTATGCATAGATCTTAATGCCATTTCCACAAGGTGGGATATACGAATGACTTCACTGTGCAGCAAACGAGTCCTTTAAAAAGTCCATCCTGTATGATCCCACTAACAGTCTTCCAGCAGTTTATGCATGAAAGGTACTCTGTAGTGGTTGATTTTTATTTTTTTTTTGCATGTGACACAACTTAACCAAACTAGTTATGCAAAACATCTGCCCAGTAACACCGACCTTTGTGCGTCTTTAAAAAAAGGGGGTGCTGTGTGACAAACCTCACAAAGAGATTACAGTGGCATGAAATGAGCGAGCACTGCTAACTGGTGATTGAGGGTTCACCGTGTCATATTTCTTCTTCTTCTCCCCAGAGAAACTATCACATGCCAAAGAGGAGAATCTGGGCATGCACCAAGTCCTGGACCAGACCCTGCAGGAGCTGAACAGCTTATAAACACACACAGAGGAAGCTGGAGAGGATGAGGTCGTCATTAACATTCCATTAAACGTTCGACTCCATTCCACCTTTCGAGCTGTAAAATCTTCATTCCCCACCTAAAGGGGGATTAACTTAATGCTTCTCCTTTTTTTTTTCTTTTTTTTTTTTCCCAAGCACAACTTTTTTTTTTTTTTATAAAGATTTTTTGAATCCACTGCTACTTTTTTTTTTTAAACCTCCAGATGTTCTTGTAGAAATTCGTTTTTGACCACTTACAAAGAACTGGCACTAAATTTGTCCAAAGAAACCTCAGATTTGGTCACTCAACCACTTAAACAGACTTAATTTTACACATTATGTGCACATACATTACACTTCTGATTATTTTTAATACATAGGCTACATATGGCATAGGGGTTTGCTCAGTCTTGTGTGGCTTTTAAGCGCCACCTAGTGGTAATTTGAAGTTAGTCAACTTTTTTTTTATTATTATTATTATTTTTCCATTTTATCTCCAGCGGCTGCAAATTAACAGATATTTGACAGATCTGTGCTCGTCTCAGTCTCTTTTTGTGTTAGAACAACACAACAGTCACGTGAACAGATGACCTGATAGCAAGGCTGGGTGATTCAGACTTCTTTACATTTAATTATAACGTAATGCCTCTTTGGCCAAGGTGTTGAACCTGATGCGGACGTTCTGAACACTTAAACGCTTGACCTGACCACTGATACCTAATGCATCATTACCAACAATGTCATTGTGTAGCCAATATTTACAATATGAGTGAGCTAAACCCCAAACCACTGGAAGCTCAGTCAAGTTTTATCAACCATGGAAACTTATTGTATATAGTAGAATAATGTTAGGTAATGTGAGAAGTTGTATTTTTTTTTT